TGTGGCCCTTAGTGCCATGAAATAGTAATTGGAGTTGGATCAGGAGTTGGACTTGATGATCTTGGAGGTCTTTTCCAACCCAATCTATTCTATGATTCTATGATTCTATGATTCTAAGGTGATGCTCAACAAATTCAAATAGAGAAAAACAGAGGGTTTAAGTGACTACGGTGATTTATCATACTAAACTCTTTATTACCTAAACTCTTTGCATCTGGACTGTATGTTACTCTGAAAAATAAGTTCTAGTCTGAACACAGGGCATGAGTTTAGCATGATTTATTCTCTGGGTTATTTGGTCTTGGATAACTGTCCATTCTAGTTTTGAAATACATGAATTAATTTCTGTTATTTTCAGCATACAAAAGCAATGTGCAAGTGCATGCACCAAGAATAGATTTAATAGATGAACAAGTTGCACAAAACTTAAGTGGGTTTTTTGTGGGTATAGTTGTGTTGTTGTGATTAGGGTAAGGAAAGACAAGTGATCTTTGGTGATGCACATCCATTAAGCAGTTGGTTTATGTGTTTTTATAGAAGCAGAAGAGTAACATTCATAGAATTTCTTCTGCTGGTTGAGCTGAAGAAGTAATAGTAACTGTGTCAAAGTAACAGAAAAAAGAAAGTGAGGTAATAGTAACTGTGTCAAAGTAACAGAAAAAAGAAAGTGAGGTAATAGTATATACAACATTCCAAAAGAGATACTCTTAAGAGTGTTTTAACTTCTGTGTTAACATAGACACAGGCTTAGGTCACTAAAATAATTTATGGACACGTGTATTTTAAGAATGAAGACAAGATGCTATTTGAATGAAGCAGAGGCACATTTTATAAAAAGTTTTTCCACTGTGTGCATTAGTAAGTTACATTGCTAATGAATAGTTAATCAAAGCATAATTGGGGAGAGGGGATTTATGGGGAAAATCCTCTAGTAACATGGCATAAATCTTGATTCTGAAGTTGATAGACCTGCTTTGTACTTTTGAGAACAGTCTAATAGAGTGCCTTCTAGCATTTCCTAGCTATGGACATTCACTACCAGTGGAGAATTGAATGGCTCTGAATCCCAGAAGATCCTCTCTTTGTAATAAAATAAAAAATGCATGTCCCAGGTTAGACTTGGCTCCCAGCCAAGTGCCTGGACCCCGGGGACTAAACCTTCCCCCTCCCTTTCGCTGTCTCCCAGCTGACCGGGAAAAAAAAAAAAAAAAAAACAAAAACAAAAGAACCCAAACCGAATTAAATTTTAAGTGGGAGATTTATATATATAAAGAAAATTATATATACAATTACACCCCCCAAAAGGGAAAAAGGAAGGGAAAGGGAAAAGGGAAAAAGGGATAAAAAGGGATATAAAGTCAAACACTCCCCTCGAGAGAAAGCGAGCCACACTACACTACCGCTGGCACTGTTTGCCTCTCAAGGCCAACCAGATGCACTAGGCCTCACTCCTTCGCCCAGGCAGAGCGACAGTAAAGCTACCTTCACCTTCGATCCACCGGAAGAAAGAGAGTGAGAACTTCCTCTCTCTCCGTAATTATACTCTTGCTTACATAAAAATCGTATGGAATACTGGGAACATGACCTTGATTCCTTGGTTACAACCTGATCACCAAGGAAGGCCTAGACTCAAAACCACTACAATGCAGTACTTACAAAGTGTGTGATTAAGCATACAGCATCACAACAAGAAATGTGTAGTACATAGGTTTCTTTTGTCTTCTATGAAGACATAACCTTTGAACAGTATTTAATTAATAATGTGTATCCAAAGCTAATGTTTCAAACTGCCCTTTTTCTTAAAGTTCACAAGGCAGATATCTTCATTTATCATATTGAAATATATTTAAATCTATTTATTTAGTGAGTTAAATAGTGAGTAAACACAGTGGATCTTTGCAATCCATAACTAAGTGTTTGGGTGAAGTATATTAAAGTTCTTCTCCTTCCTCTCTGAATGGTTTGTGGGGTTTTTTAAACCAAATTTTTTTGGTTTTATGATGAACATAGGTTAGAGGGGTTTGTTTTAGTGAGTATTGGTTATAATTTTATTTACCTTCCATCTTTTTCAGGTCGTTACGCTTTCCACCTTTGGAAACCATTGGAGCACGCAATTACAGAGACAGCAAAGAGGATTACGTCTTCTGTAAGTTTAGATATTACTTTATGCTAAATGTATGATTTTGTATTTCTAATATTCAGATCAGAAAGGAGACACTTTATGTTAAATACAGGAAGTACTGCACAGTTTATTTTTTACCCAGGATATGGCTGCTCCCTACTTTGTATATTCTGGTGTATTGTCTGCTATATTTTAAATCCATATGGAGGAAGATATATCAAAAGATGTTTGTAAATTTGATAAACAGTTCTAGTTTTTCTGCCAATGTTCCTTGCTTTGGAACTCTAGCAAGTATCTGATAGTTATCATATACTTGCTTACTAGTAAGTGTGTGATAAATTGTTGAAGTATGCTGTGAGACAATCGCTAATTCCTAAAGATTGTAAAGTGGTGACATGGAGTTTCGTTTCAAGAAGCTAAAAGTAAAATATTTTTGTCTTTTAGATAGTGTTAAAACTCAAGAAGACAAATTGATAAACTTCTAGGAAAGGTTGCCATGGAGATGGGGGAGCTTTTGTTTTGGTTCACATAGGAGTTTTCTTTTTTTTCTTCCCCAGCTGATTTGAACTTTTAACCAAGTTTTTGTTCTTTGATTTTGCCTTATATATTTAACAATATAATAATAAGGTAAAAAATCAAGAGGTAGAGTGTTGTAAGAGGAGCATATATAGAGAATATTTGAGAGCATTTACTTTCTGCTTCAGTGGCTGTGTTTTCCTCTGGTAAGTAAATACATATGTTCCATTCCCATTTGATTAAAGTGATTCCCAGTGAGGTAGGTGTCTGCTTGTGGCAGTGTGTTCCTTCAGAATTCATAGTCTCGGAACTTTTATCCCAGCAAAAGAATACAATTCCCCTCTTGATGCTCATGGATGAGTGTGATCAGAGAGCAGTTGTTGCAGATTATTAGTTCCTGAAAAATATATTGAAGGTAGTTTCTTTAAAAACATGATCATTAGCATTGTACCTACTAATGTTAGGCCGGTTGCAACACAGAGCCCTTCTCGACAGACGCTGTGGTCCAAATTCATTTGCCATCTGTCCTTGGTGTTCATGTGCTGAAGGGGCAAGCTTGATCAAGGCAAGCTTCCTGGGGAGGAGAAGACTCAACTGTCCTCTTGGGGCTGGTTCACATTTGTTCTTCACTGTGATGTGTGTCAGCCAAAAATGGTGGTCCTGGATTTGTTTTTTTCTCTCTGAGCTTCTATTGCATTGCTGTTGTGAGACCAATGCCAATTTTTTTTTTTTTTTTCAAAGTAATCTTTGAGAGATTCCCAGGTTGCCTGCCAAAACAGCAGAGGGGACTTTAGGTACTGTGAATTAAATTGCTTTCACATCATACAGATACAGTGTGACTTGAAGGCTTGCTAGATGTACATAGCAGTACATGTGGCTTCAAAGCAGAGAGGGCTTCAATCTTCACTCTCCCTCCCTTCCTAGCAGTTATACTCCAGCAATTCTTTTTCTATCCATTTTTAGATATAGGCTAGAGAATCTAAATTCAGACGTGTTCACATGAGAAAGCAGGCAGTGACTCTTTTTAACACATTGAAATATGACATGCTACTGCACTGAGAGGTGTCTGTTCGTTGGAAACTGTACCCCTCAATACTGGCTGAGCCAACTTCGTTACATACCTATCTCATTTTTACCACAGTGACTTTTGAGGCCTGCAGAATTCATGAACAGGAACTTCTGCATTCTAAGTGTTCCTAGTCCCTGGAGCAGTATCCTCTGTCTTACTTACTCTGTCTTCCTGCCTTACGGCTCAGAATTGTGGGTTGATTATTCCAGTAGAGTATCTCCTTTCTGCTATTCTGTTTTTTAGCTTGAAAATACAAGTTTTCAGTGCAAGACGAGATCTGCTGAATACAGTAAAAACTCTCTTCCTGTTTGCTATTAACTGTATGTATTTGTCAGCTTTACATTTGTGAGGATAGTAATAGTATTTTTCTTCTACAACTACCGTCCAAATTTAAGACCCTTATATAATTCTTAGCCAAGATTATTTGATTTTTACCACTCTACAGCTATTACTTTCTTGGATTGGATTTTTTTAATGTTTTTTCTTCTCCCCCTAACAATCAATAGAGAAAACAGAGAAAACTTTAGATACAAAGGTATCTCCATTTAAGTGCTTGTTGTCCAAACTTCTTATTTTAGCAGCATCATATGATTTTGTTTTCGGAATTTGAAACTGAGTATAATTTGTGAATTAGCACTTTCATCACATTTCTTGACAGCATGTCATACTCTTTAAATTATGTTGACTAAAAATATCAACAAGTTAGCGCTTCTGCGTGTGCTTACTGGAAAAAACATCTCGAGACCTTCAGTGTCTAGGCTTTCCCGCTTTTCTGTGGTGTTGAAAGGCATGTGACTTGTTCACTGTAATTTCCAATCATTATTCTAGCTTTCTAGAATCAAATCTTGTCCTTCATTGTCTTTTTTTTTTTTTTTGAGTCTGTGAAGAAGCTGCCTATTTAAAAGTTATCTTATTCTTTCAGTGAGCCCCCACTCTTCCTCCCCCATTTACAATTCTTTTCCTCCTTTGTTTGCAGTAGAAGTCACAGTTCATGTTGGTCCCTCCCAGTCAAACAAGATCATGCAGATGCTGTTTATTCTTTCTTCCTGCTCACTAATAAATGACTTCAAAAAGGTCAAGTTGAGCAATTACGAAGTGATCATTTTAAATGCTGCTTTCTGTATCTTGAATATTTGACACTTCTTACTTACCTATGTAAGTAGAATGAACAGTCAACAAGTGCACTCATCTTTTAGTCAAAAATAGTAAGTAAAGGCAAGTAAAAGTGTAATGTTTTATTCTGAACTTTTACCTCTCATTTAACTTCAACTTAAAGCAGTTACTTCATATTTAAGGATATATATTTGTAAATGCTGTTATAATTTAGCCTGGAAGTTTTCTGCCATTTTTATTTCAGTGGAGAAAGGCATTAGAGGAAACATTGTCATTTCCCCTTTATGAAAAGTCATAAATGCTCACTTCCAGAGAAGTGCCTTTTCAGTTTGAGCCTAGTTTTGTCACTGTCATCACAAATGTCAGTGACACTGTTTTGTTTCTGTGTGTGTAGTGGCAAGAGTCTATTGCCAGTAGAAGGCGCATGGCACTAAGTAATCAATTGGCTTTTCTTCCTCAGAATAAATGCCATTAATTATAGTGTTAATATGTCTTTAAAATATGAAATAAAAAGGCAAGTATTTCAGTAGCATTCGTTACCTTTCTCTGGTGAATTAATGATATTGAAGATAATGATATTGATAGATAGATAGACAGATAGAACAAAGATATTGAAGACAGAAAAAACAATTCTAGGCCAAATGAACTGTAAAAATACTCAAATCCTACAATCCCGAAAATTCTGTGTTACATAAGAAAAGGATGTCTTCTATAGCACTTCATTAGACTTTTGCACTGTGTTTCCCTTATTGGATCTGATTCTGCTCAGACTCATAGAGTTTGAATTGAGAGGTAAGGGTAGCAACCATCTCTCTTGAAAATCAAGTTTCCAGAGAGCAGTGAGATTTTGTAGGCCTTTTTTTTTTTTTTCTAACTAAATTTTAGGAAGTTGATGTTAGCAAAATTGTACTTTGTATTATTTAACAGCTTCTGAATAGTTTGTTGTTGTAATTTGGGGTTTAGGTTTGATTTTTTTCCTTCCAGTGTTTGTTATCCTTTCAGTGGAAGACTATATTGGTGCTGGAACAGCAACATATAGAGTTTTCAGAAGAATTTACTGCTCCATGTAATGATCTCAGTTACGGTGTTTTCAGTTTCTTAACTGACATGGAAACAGTGATCATTCTTTTCCTGTGCTATGCTGGAAAAAGTATCTTGAAGATGTCATGGTCCATACGCATTGGATTTTCCTAGCTGATTGCGTTTGTGGAAATTTGCAAGACTGAATACACATTTGCAAAGCAAGTGCAGCCATTTTCTGTCCTTCCCCCTGCCCCAAACCTATTAATAGCATTTGTTCAGGAAGGAGAATTTGCTTACATAAGTTGCTAAGCAGTAATAATGTGCAAGAAAATTAAGTAAATTAAATTGTAGCCTCCCCTCCCCCCAAATAGTACCAAGAAATGAAGAGCTCATTTCAATGATTTTTTCAGTACTGAATTTTCTTTGCAATTGCTGGAGTTAATAAATAATCAAGTATCTAGAACTGCCTGCTCACTGAGGAGTTCTCATAGCAGAAAAATATCATTACATCTATTACTTAAAATTTCAAACTAGGAAAAAATGCTTTAGTTTGAATAGCATGCAAAAGTTGTTTCATTAGAGAAGTAGAAATTTGCCAAGGTGTTTCCTTAAATGAATGCTAAATATTTCTTCCTATTTTTTCTAACCAGTGGGAAAAATTGATTTTATGTCTGATTTCCTTTTACTATAAATTCTGTTTAGGATGAAGATTTTAATTTAAGAATTCATTATTCTTGCTATATCCTTCATTTCTGAGGAAGAAAAAATGTTTTTTCTTGAAGACCAGTTCAACAAACTTCTTTTGTTTGTATACAAAAGGACACAGACACCAACATTTCTTTTTTCATTCCTCTTGGAAGTGAACCGAATCAAGGCTTCCTGAGGTTAGAACAGTGTCAAGAAAGTAGGCTTTAATAACATGAAAAAATATTTCTGAATGTAAGCCTATAGCCATCCCTCCCTATTCTTACATTACAGATAGTATTTTAGATGAAATCTACCAAGAACAGAGACAAACTGTGGTAGAGATAATTCAGCTATTACTCTTCTCTACATGAATAGTGAACCAGAGTTCTCCTGTGTTAGAGCTGTGTATCAGAGCTGAAGGGCAGAGAAGAATTAACCTTTTCAGGAAACCATCTGCACCTAGGCTGCTTTGGGAGAAGCTCTGGAAAAATCTTTCAGAGGACATTAAACTGCGCTTTTCTCTCCTGACTATAATATTTCTTTGGCATCACTGCAAATTCCTGTGTAGTTCTGCCTCCTCAAGGGTGTTATCTGTTGACCACTAAATTATTAGCATCATTTCCTCTCAGAGAACCAGAGAAGCCCCAAAGTGTGTTCCCTTTGTGTTACATACTCTAATCTGTAATGTCGATGTGCACAGACCTGGTTTGTGTTAACCTGTAGCTACGGAAGTGGCTCTTCAACAGATTTTTGTTCTAGGCACCCCCTGTCCAGAGTTCCTTCAGCTTTGATACCTGTAGTGTTAGAGTAGTGGTTCTTTTGTGCATGTTTTGTGATGGAAAGAAGGAAGATAAAATTAGTTTTGGATCATAACAACATACGAGAAGATCATTTCTGTGGCTGTATGTGACTTTATGGTAGCAATAGGTAAAGTATTTCAGAACCACTTTAGGAAGAATGTCTCTTTTAAGTTTAATTAAAGGCTTAGCCTAGGTTTCATAGGCAGAGCCCTTTAAATGCTTTAATGCTTTTGAAATTACATAAGAGAGTTTGTGTAGACATAAGGCAAAATTCTCACTGAATTTGAATCGCTATATTTAGTGAGAAGAGTGTTTTATTAAGGGCCAGGCATATTTTTCCTTGGGGGGTAAAAGGAACACTTGAAAATAATCTCAGCTCTCAGGCCAGACTTCCCTTTGATAGCAACAAAAGAAGCTTATTTTCCCCCAGCTGATAGGTTTTGCATTGAGAAAAAAAAAAAAATCAGTCTTGTTGAGTGATTTCTTGTGTGCCAGTTCCCCAAGGCAGGCTGTCTTGGAGCTACATCTGCTGCCTCTGGGACTTATAAAAGGTTTACTGTGAGATCACTGCTAACTATTGGTGGTGGTTCAGTAATTTTTTTTTTTTTAATTTAAAATTGATCTATAGTTGAGAAATATGCCTTTGACCTATTTCCTATGACAATTAATTGTTGTAATGTTTTACTCTGATCTCCATCTCCTCTTTTTAAGTGTTTTTTTTCTCCACTGTTTTTTCTTCCCTTCTTAAAACAGTGGATAAAGTCTCACATGACAAGAAGTTTAAAAAAATTAACCTCAGATCCTATAGCTAATCACTGTCAGTCATTGGTGTCGAGGGAAGGATGTAAATGCAAAAGTTGGTTACGATTTCTCCATATACTTTACTACTTTCCAGTGTTCTCCAGCTCAGTGATTTTTCCGAAACAGAGGTTGTGACTTTATGCTAAGCCTTTTAATTGTGTCTTTTGGTTAATTTTCAGGTTTCCTTTAAAGAACTCTTCTTTTTTTTTTTTTTTCCTAGTAAAATTCCTTGAAGTGGAAAAAAGATACTGACTTTTCATCAGTATATTATATTTATCAGTTCATATATTGACTGTTGGTTTTACCTACTGTCTTTGTAGAAATATTTGGAGTCATTGTCAGTAATTTCCTTGGATGACAATATTTTGTCATTTTTCGCGGTGATGGTACCTATGCTGTCCTCAACAAATCTCCCACTTTCCCTCCCCTGCCCTCTCCAACACAAACACTGTACTACTCTATGCTAGTATGTACTTTGATTCTGGACTTTTTTGCCTTCAGGCAGGATTTTAATGGTTGTAGCTATTAATATCTCTTATTAACAGTAGAAGATTGTAAAAACACAGGAAGATTTTGAAAACACAGATAGTTATTTTTAAGTCAGTTTTTGCATGTGTTAACGCTCAGGAGAAGTCCTTTCATATTATCTGGTTTGCAGTCATTCCATGTCTTTGAAATAAATTATAGATGAATGTAATGCTCTGAATGAGGTCATATAAATACGATGTAGTTCCTGGCACCTTGTACATAAAACTAATTATTGCTTTTTTCCCCTTTCTTCTTTTTAGAGTTTTTCATCATACTATAAAGGAGGATTTGAACAGAAAATGAGTAGGCGAGAAGCTAGTCTCATTTTAGGTGTAAGGTAGGTATGTTGCATCAATATATTTTAGTTTAGCAAGTATTGAATGAAGCAGATGCATGTTGCAAGAATGTGGAATACTCGTGCCAAAACCACGTAAGAGACTTTTTTTTATAAGAGACTTCTAATGACTTATAAATTATTTTAATATTTTGCTTAAACTAAAAAGCAAACAATAAAATGCTCATAAACTGTGTGATTTGTGTTTGTATCGGTGGCATAGTAACATACTGTAGTGGATAAATGTTCTTGCTGTGCCCTGAGTCCCATTCAGCAAAGCCACTCCCCAGCCTGGCATTCCCCAGCCTGTAGAGCTGCAAGGGACACTTCCTTCCCAAGCACAGAGCTCTGCGCCTGTCCTTGTGGTGTTTTCTGAAGTTTCCTATCACCTACTCCTGCAGCCTACCCAGATCCCCTTGAATGTCAGCCCTGCCCTCCAGCATATTGACTGTTCCCACCGAGGTGATAGACTTCTCAGCCAGTTATGTTGAAGGCAGCATGACGTCGGTGTGACTCAGGTTGTGAGCCAAGGAAAGTGTGATTTTGACATTATGTATTTTTTTTAATGGTCATTAAGAATTTTCAGAGACCAGTCTAACTATGGGATAAGCAATATCTCCTAAACCAAGAAAATTTAACATAAACCCTTTTCACATTTGCTTCTCGGAGCAGACATGCATGATTTTCTGCCACATGCAACTGCCACTTTTCCCCAGCATTTTTTCCGCATTTCTAAATGGGGTATATCAGCTTTCCTTTTTAGTATTAAAAAACAGCTTTACAAGTCAAAACATAGATGATTATTATTTTCAGTTCTCTGACAACAAATTGTTTTATTTTTGTACTTATATAGTTCAAGGCCTTTCACCCCCTGTTAGATTCTTACTTTCTAGTCTACTTTCTGTTCCATTGAAGTATTCTTTTCTTATGCAGTTCTGTGAACTATTTTTGCAACATACCCTAATTTCACTGTGACAGAATAATAATTAGAGAGGTTGTTTACCTCAGGAATTTAGTTAGGCTGATACCTTGCATTCAAGCTGTATCTACAGAAAGATTAATTAATTGAATCATCGCTGATTAAGAAGTCACCTGAAGTGGAAAACACTGATTCATTTCTGCATACTAACAAATTATAAAAAACTAAAGCATTCAAACTGTCCTTTTGCATATGATAGCCCTACTGTGTTGGCATACTGCATCCATAAGTGGTTATTTGTCTGGTAAGGGATGTATTTAATTTAGACCGAGTACATATTTTATGTATCTGTCATTGAAGGAAACAACATTATGTAGGTAGCACCTGTAAATCAGCATATCCCTGAATGTAACACATTGAATAGCTTTGCAAAAATAACAACATGCAGGGTTTTTTTCAGGCCCCAGCAGAAAGAGGAAATATTTATAGCAGCTATAAAAATATTTACAGTAGAACAAAATGTGATAATATTAAATATTTGTTGTTTTGTCACTGGTCATAAAAATATTTATTTTCTTGGAGCAGAAATTGTTTTTTCTGCATTGAATGCTAGAGTAACCAACCAGATACACCCTAGAACTGCTGGGGCTTTCATTTTTTTTTATTCTACCCCCTCCAAATTTTTTATTTTAAATGAGTGGATGCATAATGTTTTACAAAAACCTGAAAGATATTTGTATGTGTGAAATACACAGGCTTTCGAAAAATGTCATTCTCTGTCTTACACGCCTTTGTTATTATTTCCTTAGAGATGCAGTTTTATGTTTTGTCCACAAGATGGTGAAAATTTCAAGTTTTAATATTTTTGAAGCCAGTATAAACTGTTAATTTTTAGCCTGAGCGCTTTCACATTTCTGGTAAGCACTTATATTTATTTTTGCAGTCCATCTGCTGGCAAAGACAAAATCCGAACAGCCCATAGAAAAATCATGATTTTGAATCATCCTGATAAAGGTAAATAATTACTACTCTTCTTAACCAAGGCTGATAAGGAAGAGGTTTAAATGAGATCTTTTAAGTTTTCTGACTATGTAAATAACCACATTGAGTGCAAATGTTTTTTGTTTATTTATTGACTTGAGCTTCTGTGTCTCCCAGATAAACTGGGCTTTATGAACCACAGTTTTACTATCTTTCTATAATGTTGTTTTCTTGTACTTGTGCTGCTTCAGTTAAAACTATGATCTCAGGGACTAGCTTGGCACACTTGGCAAAAACTTACTCAAAAATAAGCTGTAAAAATTTTACGTTATCTGACACTCCTGTTTTGAAGTCTGACGGAGCAGTCGCATGAAAGTAACTTTCTGTGGGGAAATGTTCTGCAGTTACTAAGTACATCATTGATGAATTTCAGACTTTATGGAATTCACTTGGAAAGAATGTAAAGCTGGGCACTGTTGCTTTACTGGCCAGGTTTTTAATGTAAATTTATCTTAGAGGAAGGCTATTATTATAACTTTAACTACACTACAGCTGGTTGAGAAAGAAAGCCCATATGTTCATTGCTGTTTCTACTTTAAAATAACAGATGGTGAAGAGTTGCACTGTATTTCAGAAGTCAAAAGGGGAAATTGGAGGGGTTTTATATCTTTTTGACAGAATTACAGGGCTCCCTGCCAGCACCCCATTTTAAGAAAATGAAAAGATAACTGTGACCACTGGCCATGGAAAGTTTTTAGTTGAGTGTTTCTTTTCAGTCTTCACCCCTCAGTTTAATTTTAGAGTTGTCCTGCTTATTTGATTTCACACTTTCATTTTTTACACTTTTTATAAGGTGTAGACTGCACAGACATATGAAAGAAATTCTCTTCTGCATTTCTAATATATATGATGGTCAAAGACCTCTTAACCACCAGAGTACCTGTTAGGTCAAAATTTTTTAATGCTGAACTTGTAAGTTTATTGTAGCAGTATTTGGAGATGTGAGTAAGAAAGAGCTGTGAATCCCTGTGTGGATATTGAGTAGACCTAAAGAGAGAGTTCCTGTTAGGAAGATCCTAATGACCCTAACAGAGATTTTAATGACCGCTCTTTCAGCTGTAATGCACCTGCAACTGGGCACAGTGTGGGTTTGGATGGATGTAGTGAGCCCTATTGCATGGTATTAAGATGGAACATTTTCTCCAGGAACACCAGTTGAAGGGATTTGTGCCTCTGTGCTGCCCCTGAAGCTCTTCTGGCATGGCTGTAGAAAAAAGGCTTATGTAATATCTTTGGCTGCAGAGCAAGGGACTGGAGTAATCTTGAACATGAGGTATCATAAAGAGACTTGTTTGCTTGTGTATAGATCTTGATTTCTTCTGGCTGTGGGTAGCACAAATGTTCTTTTAAAAATTACAGTCAACATTGTAATGTCATTTTAAAATAATGTTTTACCAGCTGGACTTGATAGAAGAAAGGTCATTAATTACAGATTTTTGAAGCTACATATGTTATCTGAGATCCAAACTGTTAAAGAAAAAATTATTAGAAGTAAATAAGAAATATATAAAAATTTGCCTAATAACATCCCCAGTGAGTACTACTAAAACAGTTGCTTATGAACCTTTGGAGTTCAGTTTTAAAGTGTTTTTATATTGATATATTATATAGATGTATTGTGTTGTGTATTGTGTTAATTTATCAGTTATTAATTTTAGGAAAGAATATTTCCTCACAGAAAAAGAGGAAGAGAGAAGCCTTTTGGACTTGCCCTAATTATAAACAAACACTTAGGCAATCATGAGATTGAATTTCCTCTCATTGGAGGGCTACAAAATTAATATGGCACTTAAGGATGTAAATGTAGCGAAAACACTTCTAACAGATTTGAATTTACTTTAAGGTCCTGTACTTTAGACAGATAGAAAATCAATGCACATTTAAAAATTACTTGGAATACATTGTTTATTGCAGGTTTTAGTCTTTACTGTTTGTTTGATCCTCTTATCTACTCAATGTAGTAAATCCTATTCCTTGCTAAAAGCTACTTGATTTTAAAAAAAGGGAAAAAATAAATTCTTTTTTCAGTAGCCAATTCATTACCCATCCCTTGCCCTGCTTCTCTTTCCTCCAGTGTGTCTTACCCATTAAGGCTACATTCAAACAAGACCAAAACATGAAAAAGAACTTCATTACTTTTTCCAGTTGTTTTACTACATCATGAAATTACTTTATACTGATTTGGATTCCTGCAGGATTGTCCTAAAGAAGGCTTGAAGGAAGCCTTGCCTTTTTGTCTTTATTTATATTTGTCTATAAGTAGCTCTATATGTTTTGTCTATCATTGTCCTTTCTGATTAATAGAATAAATGAAATGGTGAATGAAAAATAAGTTTTAACAGATGCCTTGGAAAAGGCTATTCAGTGCACAGTACTGCTGGAATCACATTTTCACATAAAAAATATAGATGTATTATAGTAAGTGGTAAGTTACTGATACAGACCTTGTAATGTTGTTTTTGGTGACTGTAGACAGATGGTTGGCACTCAAGGGGAGAGTAAAAAAAACCAAACACAAAAAGACTGCTGAACTGTAATCAGATTGTTAGATGGAGCGTAAAGCAATGACAGTGTTCAGGACTAGAAGTTAGAAGGCGTACCATGTTTAAACAGCTTTAATGTGATGGTTTCTGGCTTGTAATTTTGGGTGTCTAGCGCAGGAGAGTCTTGCAGGGGAAGGTGTGCATGTGCACACAATAATCCTTTGTCAAAATTATTTTAAAATTTTCCTTTTCAGTTTTGGGATGAGTGGAATTACTAGCTGTTTGGTTTGAATGAATATTCAAGACAGCTGACCTAGCATACACTTGCAGAAGCATCACAGTGCTGGTCTAAATCACAGTGATATAAAGCGTTTTCAAATTTCAGTCTTCTCTCTAAGACAAAATGTTCAGCGTTATTCTTCAGTGACTTCAGTTTTGATTACATTTCTCATGTTTCCTTGTCAATTAGTTTATTTCTTATCAATGTCATTTATTAAGCAGTTTGTATCAAAAGGATCTGCGTAGGAAAAAGAAGCTAATGAAAGTGAGTAATAAAGGGATGCTGCAAGTGAAGTAGTTTGGTACTTAATACTGACATGTAAACAGTATTCTTTTTCCCTTTCTCTTCTCAGGTGGATCACCTTACTTAGCAACAAAAATAAATGAAGCAAAAGACTTGTTGGAATCCAGTGCCAAAAACTGAAATCCGAAGGCTTGGGTCCTAGGAGATTCAGCAGATACATTGCACAATGGCTTTCATGTCTACTTGCTTTGCACAGTTTCTTATTCATATTTATTGTCATAATTAAAATTTTAAGATGATCTAAAGCGAACTGATTTATTTTACAGTTGTGTAAAGTTATGTACAGTTATTCTCCTGCAAGGAGGATAGAGTTGGACTTGATGATCCTTATGGGTTCCTCCCAACTCAAGTTGTATTATGATTGTGTCTCAATTTTAGTGTATTTTTACTGAATTATGATCCCTTAAAACTTTGAAAAAGTTCTCTTACTGTCAGTAGGGGTTTTTTTGCAGTAGTTGCTTCTTTCATTAAATTTTGGGTCTTATAAAATAAAATTTAAAAATTAGTCCTAAATATAGGGCTCTTCATTAATGAGGAAATAACCCTATATTTAGGGTTGCTGGAGAAAATCTGTGACAGGGGTTGATTCACAGGAAATATGGCAGACCCCGTACAAGTTTCCAGCATCACCTTACCCTTGAGTCTGTTCATTTGTGAAGTAGTAGGGTTTGTTCATGAGTGTGGTTTGAGAGCTGCAACTCTGGACAAAAGACTAATGGGACTACAGGCTGCAGTTTTCATTAACTGTATATATGGGGCTTGGAGCTGTGAAGGAGAAGATTCTTGGTTTTGGTTAGTTCTTCTGCATATTAAAGGATCTCTGAAATTGTCAAATAGTTATCTAGACATGCTTCAAGTCACAGAGTATTTTTACTCTGTAGCAGTTGGGATAGTGCAGGGGTTTTCATGGCAGTGGAACTGAAGAAGGTAGGTCCACGTGCCATGGAGGTGAGATGGATTTTATTGGCTGGAGTTGTCTAGGTCCTACACCAGTCATGTGAGCCTGGTGTAGGACTGACTCAGCAGGGAACCTACCAGTAGATTGTCTGCACGTGAATTAACTCTCCTAAGAGGATGATGATGAGATGAGACAGTGTAGTGGATTCAGTGCAAGACTGAAAAACTTCCTGCTGTCCATTCAGACTCTGTCGTTTGAGGTACAACAAACAACTTGAAATGCTACAAATATAAAATTTAGACATCCCATTTTCTAGGTTATTTAGCCAGAGGTAAGTGGCTAAGAGCAGTTAATATGAGGTTAGACGCTTTAATTATTTATCCACCAGAACATGCATTTGTAGTTTATCCAGTGGTAGATGTCCAGATTATATGAATTTTTCCTTGAAAGGAAGAAAGAATATGAATTATTTTTTACCAGGTTCCTCACATTTTATCACAATTCCCTTACTTTCATTAAATGGAGATGAAAAGATTTTTAGTTGACCCTAGAAGGAAATACTAATTTTAAGTAGTTTAGAGACTTCATTGCAATTAGAGTGGCAAGACACATGACACAATTTGACTGGATAAAGCAAAAAAGGCTATTGGGAAAAACCTGCCTGGGAATAGCATACACCGTATAAGTACTAAACTTGCATCATTTAACTGATACTCTAATAGAAGAAGCTTTAAAGAAAATAGTTTAGTCCTATGCATTAGCTTTAATTGGTTCTTGTTAAAGGAGTGGCCATCAGTTAAAGCACATTGAAGGTTAGTCACTGGTGTATCAGTCTGTATTGGCAAAAAATAAAATCATGACAGTTTTCATTTTGGGAGGAGAGAAGTGAGATGGTGGGGGTCCTAATTTTCTGAAGTGGAATGTGTATGTGATATAAGTCATTCTGCAAAAGCAAAATTGATGTGACTGTTAGGTAGCAAAATCATTCTGTCTGATTATTTTGAACTGACTAGCTGTTGTTTTTATATGATTGCCTTTTTTTTTCCTGAGTAAAATGAGATACTATTCTAAAGTATCAGTTGAAACAAATGCATTACAGATGGCTACTTGTTCTATTCTTTAAAATGAACTTCTCATGTCTTTGTAAGAAGTAAGGGATTTTGGTTTTCTCATGAGATTCTGTTGTTAATAGCTTCCTTCCTGATGTAATTATTTGTATGTGATTATTTTGGATGAAGCACTCTTTTTCTGACTTTCAGTTATGAGGGAGATTTTCCTTCTTTACAAAAACAAATAAAACCAAGTTGTAGTTCTACTTTCTCCGTTATTTTCAGAGCAGACTACTGACCAATTAACAAATTTGATATATTAACAAATTAAAAAAAATTAACAAATTAACTGGCCAGTCTTGTCTCTGGAAAATGCTGTGAAATGAATGAAGCTAATGAGTAGCAGTTGTGAAAGCATCCCTGTTTTATGTCCAGTGCCGTAGCATCACACATACAATAGCATATTTTTTCCAATCTGTTTACTCACAAAACTTGCTTTACCTGCTAAATGACATTTGGAAGGATGAATAAAGGACAGGGAAAAGCCAATCTTGTAGTGCTGCTCAGTTTGTTGTCGCTGATAGTCAACATGGCAGGCTAAGGAATGCCTTTGGAGACTGCCTTGCAGAACAGCACTTGGATTGATGCTCAGCTGGGCTAGGAAAAATATTTCTAATAGCATAGCCTGGTAATTTAATCTTAAAAATATTCAGCTTCTTGAGACTATTTTCTTTACCTGTCAGATTCATAAGCTTTTTCTGGTAAGAAGAGTGTGTAGAGGTTGATTTATTCTGGTGCAATTTCTGTCCATCCATACTAGCAGCAACAGACAGACTCATTTTTCATGTGTTGCTTTAATGTTCAGAAAATGTTCATCTGTAACTTCTTAGCTTAGGAATTCCCAGGTAGTTTTTCCCTTATATGATAACTAGTCCCAGGTATCCTCTACAGCTTTAGAAGTCAGGCAGGAATGAGTGCATTTATTTGTAATTGCTGTGGGAGATTGTCAGTTTATTTAATGAAGCAGAGCTTGCCTATCTACCTGACTTTTGCTCTTGGTTCGTGGGAGTTTTACCTGATACTTCCTTCTTTACCCTTAATACAGCCGACTTAGGCATAGGTCCCCAAAACGACACAGTAAATCCAGCTACTGCCTATGCATAAGTGCAACCTGCAAAACTTTTGCTGGCTTAGGGTGGGACATGGGTAGAATTGAGACATATAAAAATAAGGGCACAATTCACAAAGCCTTTGCCTGATCTCTTAGGTAATTTTAATGGTAAAAAATTACTCTCCTATGCATTTGGATTTTTGTTTTTGCATAGGTATAAAGCTACTTCCTTCTTGCAAGGTCTTTGCTCACTTCAGCACTTGTCCTTAAATCAACAGATTTGGTATCTGGTGTCTTTAAGTTCGCTGAAAAGCCTGATCTGGTAGCTGTGGTTGTCGGGTGCCTCATCAACCTTGGTGTGAAATCCCGGTGTCTGACCTGCTACTCAGATGAGACTGGTGATGCTGGGCTAAGGAGGTGATGGCATTTGCTCTGCTTCTTGCTGGAGCTGCCCCTTGCTGCAAAATGGAAGGTTCGTAAAGCCTGCGAGATCCCTGGGCCTGAGTACTGGGCTCTGGTCAGCTTAAGACCTTGAAATGATGTCAGAACAACTTGAAGAAATTCACCAACTGAGGTTATTACTGACTTCCTTAGGAACCTCACTTCCCACATGTTGGGGTTTAAAACCTTTTCCTTAATTCACACTCTTCTGTGAACTTCTGTCTACCAGTCTCTCTGACTTTGACGAGCAGCATGGTAGACTGGCGCTAAATCACCAGGAATACCTTCCAGAACTTTTTAGTTGAATGATGACAAAACTACTATGTTTCTTGGGTCATAAACAGCAGGTTTTGTTGTGTAGGTTGCAACGGCATATTTGTAAATCGGCATCATGACCAACACAGTCTTAGGACTTTTTAACTTTGTCATTTCAACGATTGCTCTCATTGTGTGTGTACGTACATATATATCTAAGCACACACATGTTCATACACAGACACACTGCTTTTCAAGATCCTGTGTGGAATTTTTATCTGTACTGGGGCACAGTTTTATAAAATTACACTTTTTTTTTAAAATTTTATTTTTATTCTTACTTAATCTTCCAAATCAGATCAAGACAGCAAAAATAATGCCAAAGTCAATTACAGGTCTTCAATTAATTATGTTGTGTAAATAGGAAGACAAGTCAAAAAAAAGATCAAACAACACACACCACCCCATTGTCTCCAATTTATCCACTTTATTGAGTTCATACTCAGTTTTGCTCTGGTATAGATACATAGGATGTTGTTATGAATCTTTTAAAGAAAAAGTGGCACTGTTCTTCTGTCATCATCATACTGTATTTGTGTGAGATCCACGTACCCAACTTTTTTTAAATGAGGCAAATATAAAATAAAAAAAATGGCGGAGCTTTTTGGGATGTTGTCCAAAGTTTTCTATTTGCAAATGCTTAAGATTTCAGCTACATTTAAAATATGCTTTTGTATTTTACTCTGGAGGCATTGAGTAGGAGGGGGGGGGAGTTTTAAATCATTATTTGATGTCTTAGTGATTGCTAATGGTTCATGAACCATAGAGTGAGAAACTCCTTTCATGAATAACTTGAATTGTCAGCCTAGGTGGCAATACACCTACTTCCTTTATTATTAGGAAATCACAAAACTATACTTAGAATGAGAAATATAATTTTGACAGTTGTAGCATCATCCAAGTAATATTCTTGAGATTTTTCAAGTTAGTTATGGTACAGAGTAATTGCTGTACAGCTTCATGAGACATTAAAACTCCTCTACTGTTCTATTATAGTTTCCTTGTTTATATACTAACTTATACAAGGAGAGGTTCATTAGATGGATTTTTTTTTCTTTTAATATAGCAAGTATTGCATCTATAAATTCTAGTTTTAAATAGTGGCAAAGTTCTTTAAAATGATTGTATGATTTAAATATTGCATAAAGCATTGTTCTGGATGTCGTGATTTCTTCTGACTGTTGGATTTGATTTGGGCAACTTAGATGTTCCTTGCATCTAGCAGGTAAGTGAACAGTTTGTATTGCCAAGAATAGCAAAGGTCCTAAACATTCCAGTGAATAGAATTTGACTAATATAATATTAGGAAGAAATTATTCACTTAGGGGGGTAGTGGGACACAGTCACAGGTTGTCCAGAGAAGCTGTGGATGCCCCATCCCTGGGAATGTATTTCAAGGCCAGGCTGCATGGAGCTTTGAGCCAGCCTGGT